GATGACAACGTTATTGATACTGGCACTGATAACGATGATGATGATGATGCTGCTTCCGGATAAAGATGATGATGATGACGATGATGATAATGAACATGATGATGATGATGATGATGATGATGATGATGATGATGATGATAATGATAATGATACTGATAATGATAATGATGATAATGATGATGATGATGATGATGATGATGATGTTGATGATGATGATGGTGGTGATGATGATGATTATTGTAATGATGATGCTGCTGATGATGATGAAGCTGATGATGACGATGACGATGATGAGGAGGAGATGGGGAGGTGAGGAGGATGGAGAAGGGAGGTCAGGAGGAGGAAGGAGGAGGAGGGGCGGACCCGATCGGGCTCCACCGATGACGAAACACCCGCCAGAACGACGGAAACGTCGGCACACGCGCACGGCAACACTTGCCAGAGCGACGGAAACGCGCGGTTGCGAGGGAGGAGGGGGGGGAGGAAGGGGAGGGTAAGGAGAAAGATGAGGACGAGGAGAAGGATGAGACGGGAGAGGAGGAGAAGGAACAGGAAGGAGAGGAGGAACTCTAGACCAGAGATCGCGCGGCCGTCGCGAGACCAGAGCGCGAAGTGAGTGGGACACTCCGATAGGACGAACACGGCCGCCGCGCGGCGACAGCGCGCGAGGGGGCCCGAGCGAAAAACCGCCGCCGCCGTCGCCTCTGCCGTCATCGTCGTCGTCGTCGGCGGCGGTGTCGGAGTCGTCGGCGTGGGTCTCCTCCTCCCTCCTTCTCCTTCTCCCTCTTCATCCTCCCCTCCTCGCACCCAAGAGCAGGAGGAGGACTGCGGAGGAGGACTGCGGATGAGGAGGGGGGTGAAACACAATCGGCCTTAGAGGAGGAGAAGGGGAAAGCCGGGTTCACTCATGTTGTTGTTTTGTCTGGTTGCGCGGGGTCATGTTGCGTGTATGTTGCTTCGATTGTCCACGGCGGAAACTGACAAAACAAAAGGATCCATCATAGCTTCGGGGCCCGATTTGGAACACGGACCTCGACGACTTCGAACGTACTCATCCCACCACTCCTCTGGGAGTAAGTGGTTCGGCGAGTTTCTGCTTCCAACCCCCTTCTAGCCCCCCGGTGTATCACTGCTCCTTCTCACTGATGGATCAACACACCCTCGCTCATGCGGCGGCAGCCCAGGAACCCTGTCAACAAAACCTAAACATCACACCAGAGAACCCCCCATCAGTGGATGGTTAGAATATGAGTGAGCTGAAAATGGAAATCGACGGTGAAATCGATAGCGAGATCGACTGTGGATCTATAGAGAGGACGATAGGAAGGTCGATCGTGAGACAGGCAGTGAAATCGATTCAACGAGATCGACAGTGAGATCGAGGGTGAGATTGCTTGTGAGATCTATACTGATATCGATTGTGAACTCGATAGGTGGGTACTGGGATCGATAGTGAGACCGATCCAGAGGGAGATCGACAAAGCACCCGGGAACCCGGAAACCTGGGAACCCAGCCGCCCACCGAACTGGGCCTGGAACCAGCAACCGGGAACCAGGGAACCTGGGAACTGGGAACCCCGGAACCTGGCGGCCTACCGAAATCGGCCGCCAAGTTTCGCCAACTCTTTCAGGATCCGCTGGGACGCCTTCAGTGCAAGCTCTGATTTGGGGAATATGCTCTTGCGGAAAAGCGTGCTTGGACCGTGCGCGGGGGCCCCGCGCTCACAGTACATGGCTTTGCGCGAAGAGAGACGGGGGGGGGGGGCAGAACATGGCCCGAGCTGCCCGCCCACCATCCTTCTCAAAAAAACAGTGCGGCGTGCACTGTGCTGCATCAGCTTGGACCGTGCGCGGGGGCCCCGATCACATTACGCAATGATCCGGAAGGGATGGCAGGGGTGCACGCATGTTGTCTGGTGCGCGGGCCCACCACTCCTGGCAACAATCTGTGCACAACGACTGCGGGTGCACACACCATGCACCGTGCTGCCTACCCCGACGCCACCTCGTGGTCAATGATGTTGTGAATGCTCGCGCTCGCTTTTTTTCCTAATAAGAAACATCAATCGAAGAAATACGACAAAGTTCGACCCGAGCGATGAAAACCGTCAGCTTCCCAACTGATGGAACGGGCTCTCCACCGTGCAAGCACTGGCCGGAAAAAAGGGGGAAGCGGGCAAGGAAGAAGGGAGGGAGGGAGAAACGGGGGCGGAATAGAGATTGACCTGCGTCCGCATGTCCAGAGATCAAGCGCAGTGCATGCTCGTTGTCGTCCTTCCGATGGGCTACCGAGGCCTCAGCATGAACCCTCAAGGCAACCCCAGGAACGCCCAGGAGCGACCCAAGAGTTCCGAGAGTGCTCCCAGAGGCGATGGCTCGGGCTCGGTTTCGGGGGAGGACAAAATGAGGACGCCTTCTTTGTGATGGGAATGCTCCAAGAGTCCTCCAGAAGGGCCCCCAAGAAGAGGGCTCTGGAAGCGCCCAAGATGGCCCCAAGAGAAGAGGGCTCCAGAAGGTCTCACAGAGCGAACGATCAGCGCAGGCCTGTATGGTTGACTCCTGTCGTCGTCACTATCGGCATCGGCATCGTTGTCGTCGTCGCCTTCTCCACCCCCATCCTCCTTCCTCCTCCTGCCCACCCTCCTCATCTTCACACATCCTCCTGCTCTGCCTCCGCTTCCTCCTCCTCCTCCTCCTTCTTCTCCGTCATCCTGCTCCACTCCCTGTTCCCCCTACCGAGGATTCACCGGAACTTAAGCGGGAAGCCTGTCCGCCCAATTCCTCCTCCTTCTGCTCGCCTCCATCCTCCTCCAACTCCAACTCTCCCTCCAACTCCAACTCCAACTCCAACTCCCCCTCCTCCTCCTCCTCCTCCTCTTCCTCCTCTAACTCCCCTTTCCCTCCTCCTCCTTCTCTTCCTCCTCCTCCTTCTTCTCCGCTTCCTCATCGTCGAAGTAAAAGCTGCCACTCCCACCTCTGGTCCACTGAACTCTCCTACACATACCAGATCACGGCAACTCGCCTGGGCACCGTGTTGGATGGGCTGGCGGATATAATTACGCAGCGAGTCAAGAAATTCGAGGTCAGCCTGTGGCTACGAAAGCGCTCCCTTGAACCCCCTAAGAGTGCCCCAAACGGGGACAACAAGGAAGGCGACGACGGCGACGGCGACGGCGATGACGATTGTGCCTTGTGTCCGGCGTGCAGGTGGTCGAAGGTGCCCCCGAGCACGACGTGGCCGACGCGCCCCGAGCGCAGCAGGCAGGGGGGCGCGCCTGCGGCGCGCGGCGCGGGAGGCGCGGGGGCGCTCTCTCGGCGAGGAGTTGGCGGCACGCGCAAGCCGAGGCCTCCCAGATGGGGTCGGAGTACACTGGGTCGGAGGATCTCGCCGCATCGCCAACGCATCGGCGCCATGGGCGTGGAGACCTTCTGGCTCCACATCGAACTGCAACGCCGGTGCATCGGCGATGCGGAACGGTCTTCCGACCCCATCTGCTCGCACCCCACATGGGAGGCCTGGACCGCTGCCGGCCCAGAAGCCGCTGCCGACGGTTGCCTCGCACGCCGCGCCCTCCTGGTGCGGAATGGGCGGGGTACCCAAATCTCCGGCGGCATGACTTTTCCGGCCCGTGTGTTCCTCGATATCTGGGCGCTCGCCTCTATCCTCCTCCAACTCCAACCCCAACTCCAACTCCCCCTCCTCCTCCTCCTCCTGCTCCTCCTCCTCCTGCTCCTCCTCCTGATCCTACTCTTCCTCTAACTCCCCTCTCCCTCCTCCTCCTCCTTCTCCTCCTCCTTCTCCTCCTCCGCTTCCTCATCCTGAGAGTAAAAGCTGCCACTCCCCCCTCTGGCCCACTGCGTTGCATGTGCTGGGGAGGTCGAGAGCAAGGGGAGGGGAGAGGGTGCCAGTGGTGGCGGCGGCGCGCGACAGGGGTGGCGGCGGAGGCCTGCGGGCGCGAGCCCGTGCAGCTGGGGCAGCACGTCCACCTCCTCGGGGCGGGGGGGCTCTCTGGGCGTTCGTCCGACTGGGGGGACGAGGAACGTGCACTGCACCCAACCGGCTCGTCCGGTAGAGGGAAACAATGAGTAAACAACACCCCCCCTGCCCCCCAACCTCAAAGCTGGCACGCGCGGGGGAGACTGCGGGCGCGGTGCAACTCATCAGACCCACCGCCAACTTGGAACATTTGGGGGGAGGGGGAGGCGTTCACGGATGAATGTGGCATGAGTGTTCGCTACTCCAGATTTCGAAATAAAGGGAGGGGGGTCTCATTTCGGGGGGGGTCTCTTCCAGGCTATCTTGGAGGGCCTGGGGGGGTCTGGGGACGATGTTTTGGAGGGCTCTCCCACGGGGGAGGTCTGAAATGGCTTGTCCTGGAGGGTCCAGACCCCCTCCCTTTTATTACGAAATCTGGAGCATGTTTTTTCCGAGGCCTGGAGTGGGAGGGCGAGGATAAAATTCACCGAGCGCGCTCCACGACTCGCCACCACCACCACCACCAGAAGCTGGAGGGGGGAAAGGAGGTGGAGGAGGAGGAGGAGGAGGACCCTCTCCCCCTTCAGCTTATGGTGGTGGTGGTGGAAATCAAGCCCATCCAGAGTGCCTACTCGCAAACGTCCGAAAAAACATGTCTGCTTCGGTGCGAGGTATCCAACCGGCTCCTCCGAGCAGCTCGGGCCGGCTCGGGCCGTGGCGGCCCCCTGCGCCCCTCCGGACGGGTGCCCCCTCGGCCCTGCGGCGGGCTCGAGGCGCGGGGAGCGCCGCGGGCCTCCCCCCGTCGGCAGTCACCACCCGGGCGGCAGAGCGCACCCTGCGCGGCGCAGCGTGCACCCTTCGGGCCCCCCCTTTTTGGGGCCCCCTTCGGCCCCCCTTTGAGGGATCAAAAAACGACCCTACTCTAGGGCTACGAGATCTATACATATCCACTGCTCCTGGCCAGGCCCATCCTGAGCCCGGGAGCGGTGCATACGCCCTCGTTGCCTAGCCATGGGGACATATACACCGCTCCTGGACCCAGGATGGGCTTGGCCAGGAGCAGTGGATATGTATAGATCTCGTCGCCCTATACCCTGGGTTACAAGTGCGTGGTCTGTAAACCTCCTGGGACCCCCCAAAAAGCCTAGAGCCGCCAGGGCGCGGCACACTACGCAGGGTTTACCCTGTCAGCCCACAGGAGATTCAGCGCACAGCGCCTCGTACACCAGGGTAGGGGCGCTTTTTTATGCCCTTGACCCTTGGGGCAGCGGCACAGGAGGTGCACCCTCCTTCCCCCCCCCCTCATGTGTTCCCGCCCTCCCCTCACGCCGCGCCCGACCGACGAGCATCGACGACCTCGCTGGCGGTGTGTGTTTCGGATCCGCCCCTCGCGTCCGCGGAAGCGAGGGTGCTGCGGATGGATTGAGGCGGCTTCCTGAGATGCAGGACGAGGGATAGGGATAGAGAGCCAGAGGGAGAGAGAGAGAGAGAAGAGAGAGATAGAGAGAGAAAGAGAGCGAGAGAGAAGGAGAGATATAGAGAAAGAGAGAGAGAGAGAGGAGAGAGAGAGAAACAAAAAACAGGAGGGAGAGAAGGGATGACTCAGAGGTGGGTAGGGATGAGGATGATTAGCGGCAGCAGGATGTCTGGTGGCCCTCCTCCTCCATGCCTCCACCCTCTCCTCGTCTTCCCCTTCGGCCTTACGTCTGTTTCTACTCCGCCTCCACAACATCCACCTGCTTGCTCCTACGCACTCGACCTCCTCCTGCCTACTCGTCTTTTTCCTGCTCTTCCACCAATGTTTTCTTCTAGTCTATCTGCTCCGCGTCTTCATACGTCTTCCAATGATTCGCCCACATCCCCATCCTGATTACACCTCCTCCTTGAGGGACGGAGGGGGCGGGATTCAGGCGGAGGAAGAGTCGCAGGCGGAGGAGGAGTATACACAATTAGGTGGTAGGATGGGCAAAAAGAGGAGGGTTGGTTATTGTTCCCTGGCTTCTCGTTCGACGTCAGCACTAACAAATGCCGGCTTGGCTCGTCGGCAATCAACATAGTGGAACTGATCATTCGAATAGTCGCAGGTTTCCTTCCACATTCGTGTGGTCACGTTGAGATAATCCTCGCGTGCTGTGTGTAAAGCGCATCGACCAGGAACGGTATCAACGATCCCCTCGATCTCATATCCGAATGGAACGCAAAGCGTCTCATTCGCGAACAGGCTGAACATGGCGGGCAGCCAGGGCGCCCGCATCGGTATTGCTATTCGAGTGTTGGTCGTGCCGTCCCAGCCATTCGCATACTCCGAGTTTCTTAATAAGCGTCGGGGAACGTCACCCCGCCGACAGCCCCGCATCGACCCCCGTCGCGTGCAGCCACCGAGCGCCGAAGGCGCTCCGACCCCCGTCGCGGCGCGACGACAAGGCGAGGTTGACCCCCGTCGGGGGGGTAGCCTCCCACGCTTATTGAGAAACCCAGAGTACACGACTGCTCCCACGACGTGTTTCTGGCATCTGCTTCGCTCAGCGGCCGCAAGGGGCTCCGACGGCGGTCGACCAGCCGCAGCGGCGGCCCTGGCGCGAATCTGGGGCACGGGAGGGCGGAGGCGAATTGGGGGCAGCGGGCTCTCGAAGGAGGGACGGCGGGAGGGAGCCCCACGCACAGGCCCTGGAAGCCAGGACATGCACCCCGAAGCGCAGCAGCGGGGAGTCGCCGCCAAGACCCCGCAGACACGACCGGTCGCACGACATGCCCGCGGCACCCGCCTGTTTGCGCATCCGAGTGTAGGACCGTTTTTCCGCGTAGCCGAAAATCGACGATCCGCTTCTCATAAAGAAGAATGTCAGGGCTCCTCCCTCTTCCCGGCCCGAACCGGCTCACTATCGGTCCCCAGACCCCTCCGTCATGACCCGCCCGTCGAAACGCATACAGACGTGGCGGCACGAAAACCACAGAGGGATGGATGAACAAATCCGGGATGGCCGCCATTGTTTCGGCTGGTCCTCATCCGATCCTCCCTCCTCCTCCTCCTCCTCCTCCTCCTCCTCCTCCTCCTCCTCCGCCCCCCGCCCCTTGAGCTCCGATTCGTTCCCAAGGCTCACGAGCGCCAGTAGCAAAGCCCTTCTAGCCATTTTCTTCCCCAGCACCGCGGTCGCATCCCACAGGTCGGTCCGAGAGGGGGGGGGGAGACGCCGCGCGCCACTCCCAAGCCGACCAGGCCGCGACCCCCGCAAGCACGTCGGCGCTGCTGTGACTCTGACACATGAATGTATCAAAGGGGATATGACGGACCGCATCTGGTCCTCCACGCGAAAGGGCGTCCACAGCAGGGACATGTCCCAAGGCCTTGGTTGGCCTGGGCACGAGCAGCACGAATTTGGAGTCCCGAAACGGTGCGGTGACAGACCGTGCGGTGACCTCGAAATCCCCGCAGACCTCACCGCACGGTCCGTCCACGCACGGTTTGGGACCTCGGATGCCTGTCGCCCGAGACGTCCTCGGAGGACGACCCGGATCCCCAAACCGCGCGGTGACCCCGAATCCCCACCGACTCACCATACGGCGTGGTCACCATCCCGTTTGGGAACCCCCGGACGAACCCAGAGGCCTCCGCTCACGCCCCGAGGGATGCAAGCACTGCTGCCGTGCCGATCAGAAATCGAACTCCCGCGGTCTGTCGCATAGCATATCGGGCCATGTGAACGCTCGAGAGCGAGAAAGAAAGCCTGAGGCCCCGCTCTGGGAACAGTCTGCTTCCTACCAGGAAGAGTCTGGCTAACTCCGCACAGGGGCACCCCACCGAGAGGCGGCGCGGGATCCTGGCCCAACGCGACCACCGCCGAGCCGCGTCGCCTACGTCAAGGGCCCGAACTAAGATTCGCCTCCAGACCTATCGCCCCGAATGACCAAAGGGGCGCCTCCAGGATCCGAGCCGACGCCCGATATGCAACGCTCCCCCAGGAGGACTTCCTGAGCCGACTCCGAAATCTCGACGCACCTGGGCGCCGCGAGGTCCCTCGGGGGCACCACCCCCTATGTCGAAGGGCAGGCTGCGCTCCGCGCCCCGCCAGGGCCCGGGGAGCACGAGATTCGGATTTGGCAAAACCCGCGTGATCCAAATTCACAGGGCACAGCCAAAATGCCGCGCGCAAGAGTCTCAGGGCGCGCACTGCAGCGAGGGCGCAGGGGCGGGCAAGAGTACCCTGCGGCATCCTGCCTGTCCCGCAGCCACTGGCCGCCCGCGGTCGCGGCGGGGTCGGCGACTCACTCATCAAGCTGCAACGGCGGGGCCATGCGCTTCAGCTCACAATGCACCGTGGTCGTGTCCGCGCCAGCCGCCAGGTCCTCGCCGGCAGCACGATGAGCCGCCTCCTCCGCGTCAACTGCGCGCGACCGCCCATGACGGCGCCGATCGCGTCGTCAATCTGCGCGGACGCAGCGGCGCGAAATTGTTCGCCACCAACGGAAGGATCAGCCAATCATCGACAGCGCCATCCGCCAAAGGGCTACGCCAAACATCAGCGCGCTGCGGATCTCATCCAATCTGCAGCAGCGCAGCTTGAATCGCCGCGATCGGGCCGCAAATATCCCCCCATGTAGCAGCGCACTTCCGCGCGTGATCCCCGCGGCGAAACTTGGCGATCACGATCGGCCATGTCGCGCGAATGCGAGGGCGAAGGCCGACACAGCGACAATGCAACCCATGTCTTGGTCCTCTGCATCCCCAGATCAACGCCAGGGTTGGAAGAAGCCAAAATCCGCCTGCAACGCCGAGGTCAAACAGCGCCCGCCCCTCACGCCAGCGACGCTGGCAGCTGCGCCCCATCTAAGCCAACCGAGAAGGAGGGGCCCCCATGGTCTCGCGGCCGAAGACCACCGCCGGAAACACCCCAGTGCCGTGGAGATTCCAGGCGATGACCCTGCCCTTAGGAAAACTCGTCGCTCTGCGTTGTCGTCCGCGGGCCTGGGCACGTCGTTTCCCCGCGCGCCTCGCGGGCCTTTTCCTGCCGCCGGCCGCGTCGGGGCCCAGGCCAACAGTCAACCGCGCGCGCTGCGCAAGGGTGCCTTTCTCAACCGCCCGCCTCTGCAGACCCATCCCAATCTCTCATCCGCTCAGGCAACTAGCCTGGAGTTGTCGGAGATCGCAAGCCTCGGCTTGTTGCGTCCGGTAGCCATGCCTCCGCCCAGAAACATCCAGTTGGCCAGTGACCTGCTGCTTCTTGCCCGCAACGCATTACGAGGACGATTCAAATTCACCGCCACAACACGGGAGAGAAATGAAATAACAATAAAAAAGGAAAAAAAATCATCGCAAAAACGCTATGAACAAATCCCACGTCACAAACTCCGACGCCCGAATGGTACATGGCAGAAGGACAATGATAGACGACGACAACCACGCTGTCGGCGAGCGCGGCGCAGGCTTTATCCCTCAACCGACAAGCGTGGATTCAAGTGCTCGGCCACGCAGCGAACCGCCGCCGCGCGAGCGCGCGCGTTCAGCTGCGCTGACTCGACGTGGGGGCGGCCCACATCGCGCGCCACGTGCGTCACCCCAACCATTACGAGACACACAAGGCCTAGTTCCGGGACGGGCAGCTATGCCCTTCTCATTCTCCGCGCCCGCCCTTTGCAGGACAATTTCGATCCATGGGGGGTCTGTGCATTGGCAACACAATTCGCCCACCGCGGGCCTCGCGGGGCCGACCCCCCCGGCCGCGGGAGCCCCCCTAGCCTTCTGGGCATTCCGCTGAGTCTGCGGGGGGGGGTCATATCCGAAAAAAACAAATCTTGGTGGTGATGCATCACACATTCGGCTCCTTGGTTGCCGGAATCTTATACACCACCACCGCGTGGGCACTGGGAGACGCCTGCTCTGGCCTTGCGGTGCTGGCGCTGGCCGCGCTCTCGCGGGGCGCGCACGGAGTTCGCATGCTGGTCTCGCGGGGTTCGCGCGAGGCTCTCGTGGAGCTAGCGGCGGGCTCCCGCGGGCCTCGCGTTGAGCTCTCGCGGGGCCCGCGCGGGGCTCTCGCGGGGCTTTCGCGGGGCTCCTGCGCGGCTTGCGCGGGGCCCCCGTGGGGCTCGCGCGGGGCTGTTGCGAGGCTCTCGCGGGGCTCCTGTGGAGCGCTCGCTTTCAGTTTTTCCCTGGGCCCGCATTGGGGCTCAGAAAGGAGGCGCGCCCCCCGACTAGCGTCGGGCCGGCCCCCAAGTACATTCATGTGACAAAACCATTGGCCCGCCCAGACAAGCGCCCCTGTTGGGCCCCAGGGGGGCCATGCGCTTCTGCGCTCGCCGAACATCGGAGAACCCAGCTGCAAAAGAGAAATCCAATATTGTGTCTGAGGCGAGACTGAGGCGACGCTGAGGCGAGAGACCGCCGGCTCACCTGACACAATCTGACCGTCTAGAGGAGCCTGGGAGAAGCATGGAGGCCAACTTCAAGAAGCAACATAATCGCTGGAGGGCAGCATCTCCAGACCAGCCTCGACGAGCATCGCGAAGGACGCTGAATCCTAAAACTTCGCCAGGTCCAGGAACAACGCAGCATGGTCAGACGATGGCGAACGCGCGCCCCCATCCACCGCCGCGTGGACCAAAGCGGCGCGCAACGCTGCATCCGAGAGCCGCAGTGCCCCAGAACGCAGACTGGACCGACGACCATTCGCATGACACTTTGGCACGAATTTTCGACCAAACCTGCTGTAGAGTAGGAACAAAAGGAACAAAACCAATAATCCTGGCGCCGCCCGCGCCCCCGGGCAGCGCATCACCGAGCGCCGCGAACACCTGGCGAAGGCCAGACACCCCAGTGCTCAGCGCGATTTCAAATATCAGCCAAGAGCTGGTGAGCACACTGAGGCTGCCTCTGGATAGCAAAAGGACTCTTCGCATCAACTCGTCGCCTGCCTGACTGGCAAGGTGGGGAGACCCGCGTCAACGTCCATCATGGAAATAGGCGATGGGGGGGCCCTCCCAAGCGGCCCTCCAATTCTGGCCCGTCATGTACTTGATGCCGGCTGGCCTGCCGACTGGATCGGCGGCGAACTGTCTCGGGCTTCGTCGCCCACTGGATGAAAGACAGCCGCGAGGCGAGCAGTGCCCTCGGAAAAGCCAAGTCCGCCCAATCACGGGCACGGTCAACCAGGGCGAGCAGTTGACGAAGGGGAACGCAATCCAAGTCTGCAGCCATACTCTGCCACAGTTCGATATCATTAGCCGTTGACGTCTTGCCAAAATCCTCCGCGCGCTGGCGCGATGCCCGCGCGCGCAGCAGGCAGCAGGGGCATCGCGCCAAGTCTCCTCGGGGCCGGCGAAGGAGACAGGGGGCGGGCGAGCGCGGGCGGCCCCGTCCCATCGAAACCTTCCTACAGCTCTTGAGGCGGCTCCTGCTGCCTCCGACGCCTCTGCCCCTCGCGCTTCCTCGACCGCCTGCTCTCGGGGCCAGGCGCCGCGCGCGGCCACTCGCGGACGGGGAGGGCCTGGGGCGCAGCACGATGGCTATGCCAAAGTTGGGCTCGAGCAACCTTCGCCGCGGCCATGTCGCCGCAATTTGTCTTCCGATGCGCGAGCGCGCGCGCCGGGCTTCGAAACCGACTCAGGACAACCAGTGCTGGCCAGGCAATAATCACGCATCCAACCGGGACCTCCATCGCAAGCGGCACGGCAGCTCGGTGCAAACGCCGTGGCTCCAAGCTTCGCAGGCCATCGGGCGTTCTGGGGATCGGAGGGCCCGGCGTTCCAGCCCGCCGCGGCCCGCCAGGGGTCGGCGAGAGCCCGCGCCAGAGGGCGCGGCGTCCCGAGAGCGGCATTGTTCCAGCCCTTCGCCCCCGACCCCAGCTGCAAGTGCGCCGCGATATCAAGCGCCGGGTCGCCGCGCTTGGCGTGGGTGGCCGTCGGGGCCCAGCCGCGGCAGGGGGCCCCGCCCGCCTGCGGCTCGAGCAGACTGCCGAGCGCTTTCAAGCCCCAACGACGTTGCGCCTCTTTGCGGGGGCGCACTCACCACCAGACAAACGAACCAACAACCGACCTGCCCGAGGGTGGGCAGCCGCGTGCGCTAGGCGCCAGCCACCCTTGTCGTCCGACAAGCAGATGCCTGGCATGTTTGTAATATAATTACCGTTTCTGCGCGTCTCCACAAGGGCAACAACGTTGCGCCCCCGCTCCGGGGCCAAGAAACGCGCAGCTTGAGGCCCCCACTCCGTGATGCTGCCGAAGACTATGCCCGAAGACCCCTCCTCAGACTCGCCCCGCGCTGGCACGGCTGCGGACTCGCCCGCGCAGCTCGGGCAACCCCTGCGGTCAAAGACGAGCCTCGCGGTCATCGGCGGCATGGGCAGCCTTTCCACTGCCGCGCCCGCCCCGCGCAGCGCCCTTGCCGGCGGCCCCCGCGGCGGCCGCCTGGGCCTTGGCACTCCCGAAGATGCGTTCCAGCATGGCCTTCTGGTCGCTCTCAGGCAAGGGCGGGAACCTGGGCCTTGCTGGGGGCGGGCGCGGCAGCAGACGACCCATCAGCGGAGGCGGCGGCACCAAACGCAATCTCGGCCCCGCATCGCAGTTGCCGTCCGCGTCGCGTTCGCGCCCCTTGGCCGACGTCCCGACGTGCGCCGACCGCGCCTGCTCCAACGACGCCTGGAACTCTTTTTGCTTGGCCCCGGCCTGCTGGGCGGCTTCTTGCAGCTGCTTCTGGCACCTCTCCAGCTCGAGCTGCCTAGCGGGCTCCAGCTCTTCAAGAAACTCGAACAGCTCGGGATTCAGAGCGATGACGAATGTCGGCTTGGACTCGGGAGGGGCCGCCCGCTTCGGCAACTCCAGGCGATGCAGTTCAACGGCCATGACCTCGTTCGCCGCCTCGTCGCACTTCTCCTGCGCCCTCTCCTCAAACTGGAGACGAAAGGTCTCCGGCGCATTGGCAGCACGCTCCAGCGCCTCCTGCTTGCGACAGCAGTCCGCCGTACCCTCCTTGAGCTGAGCATGAGCTGGTTTGGGCGCCGCAACAATCGCCCTTTTTCTTGGTGTCGGTCACGTTGGCGAACTCCGACGCGAGACGGGCCGCATCGGGGTCGGTCTCGAACCCAGCCTCCGCAAGGGCCTTGGACAGGCAGTCCCCAACCTTGGCAAGCGAGGGCTGCACTGCTGGCGGGCAGACGAACAGCCGCCAGACGACCACGGAAGGCATCACTTGCCACTCGAAGTCGTACTCAAACCTTGATGGGGTGCGTGGCACTCCGCGCAGACTCCCTTCTGCTCTTTGAGGCCCAAGTTCTATCCCAGTTGCCACACTGCGCGCAGACAGAGAAGGTGTGTCTACAATTCCTGACCATCCGCTCCAGCAGGAGATCATACATTTCGATTCAACAAGCGCTCACGAACACACCAGGTTATAGCCGCGAGCTAGCGGCACCCACTCGACTCACCCGCGAAGCTTGCATTTTGTGCCAAAGTGGCTACGGCGAAGGGGAGGAGGAGGAAGAGGAGGAAGAGGTAGAGGAGGATAAGAGAAAGACGAGGAGGAGGAGAAGGAGGAGGAAGAGGAGGAAGAGGAGGAAGAGGAGGAAGAGGTAAAGGAGGAGGAAGAGGAGGAAAAGGAGGAAGAGGAGGAGGAAGAGGAGGAGGAAGGGGAGGAGGAGGAAGAGGAGGAAGAGGTAGAGGAGGATAAGGAGGAGGACGAGGAGGAGGAGAACGGCGGAAACCGCCGCGCAGCATCGACCCCCGGCGTGGCTCCTCGAGCAGCAGGCCCCGTGCGGCGGACGCCGTCTGCAGGGCCTCCGGCCCCCGGGGGGGGCCGCCGGATCCCGGGGCGGTGCCCTGTCGGTGACCAGGGCGACTGGGAGCCGTCCCATCGGGAAGGCCTACTCGTTCTTTGAGGCTCCTCAGCTTTCGTCCCCACTCCCTTTTCTCTGCGCGGTGGATATGTCTGATCCTCAAACCTCCTCCTCCACCTCCACCTCCACCTCCTCGTCCTCGTCCTCGTCCTCGTCTTCCTCCTCCTCCTCCTCCTCCTCCTCCTCCTCCTCCTCCTCTTCCTCCTCCTCGCAGCCGTCGTCGTCGTTGTTGCGCGGCGGATTCCGCGGAAAAGGAAAGAGCTATCCGCAATTGGCGGGACCTCAGTCCTCAAATAACGCCGCAGGGGAAATAACTTGTTACCCCCCATTGATGGGGGGGGTCTAAGGACCTTCCAGGGTTTCGGCCTAGGGGAGAGGCCCTTGTGCCCTCCCTTCGGCGAGTGTGGCACTAGTAACGCCCGCTGCACCAGGCCTCATCCAAACCGCTGCCTTTCGAGCGCCAGAGCTCCCTCAGGGACGACGGCCCGTCTCCGAACATCATCTGGGCGACAGCTGCCGCACGACCACTCCCTCCACCTTTCACATCGCATCTCTTGAATTACTCCAGATCTTGTAATAAAAGGGAGGGGGTCTGGACCCCCCAAGACGAGCCATTTCAGACCCCCCCCCGTGGGAGAACCCTCCAAAACATCGTCCCCAGACCCCCCCAGGCCCTCCAAGATGGCCTGGAAGAGACCCCCCCGAAATGAGACCCCCCTCCCTTTATTACGAAATCTGGAGTACTTGCCCTTGGCCACTGCCTTGTATACATAGTGCCTCCCCCGCGCCGGCCACTCAGCGCAGCCGACGCTCATACAGAAGGGATCAGGGTAGGTATTCAGCCGGTTATGGGGGAGGGCACAACGCGCGGACGTACAGGGAGGAGGAGGAGGAGGAGGAGGAGGAGGAGGAGGAGGAGGAGGAGGAGGAGGAGGGGGAGGAGGAGGAGGAGGGAGGAGGAGGAGGAGGAGGAGGAGGAGGACACCCGTGGGCTGGGGAGGGTTATATGGCTGGGGCGAACGACCGCAGGTAGTCGGGGCCACCGCCACAGGAGGGCGCACCCCTCCTGCCTGCCAGGTGGGGACATCCCTGGGGTGGTCCCCCGGCCGCACCGGTGGGATCCCTCCGCCAGCCCCGGGCGGGCACGGGCTCCACGGCAGCGGCCGGGGACTGCCCCTCTTGCCGCCCCCTACTGACGAGCTCCTCCTCCTCCTCCTCCTCCACCTCATCCTCCTCCTCCTCCTGCTCCTCCTCTTCCTCCAACTCCTCCTCCTCCTCCTCGTCCTCCGAGGCCCTTGCGCCTCCCGACCATCTTCGGCGAGCGTGGCCCCAGCCCCACGCCGACCACGCTGCCGCCTCGGCCACCCGCTGGCAAGCCAACCTGAACCGTGTGACTGCTGCGCATCGCCTTCGCTCTTGCGCCGCCGCCGCACCCCTGTCGTCTCCTTCACTCTTGACTCTTGAGGTGTTTGCTTCCTATCCCTCTTCTCCGCCCTCTCTCTCTCTCTCGGTGTTCTGCTGCCTTTCCCTCCCACCGAGCCCGCGATCACACTCGCCGGGCCATTAATTTGTTGGTCAAGCCGACTGGCCCTGGAGGGGGAGGGCAGCACCCGCAGGGACCTTCTGCCACGGGGAGCCAGGAACCAGGAGGAGGAGGAGGAGGAGGAGAAGGAGGAGGAGGAGGGGGAGGAGGAAGAGGAGGAGAAAGAGGAGAAGGAGGAGGAAGCAGCGATCGCACGAGAGAGTGAGGAGCGCCGAGGACCAAAATGTGCCGACATCCTGGCCACGCCGGGCCCGCTACATCCGCGTGTCTCCTACGCCTCTCACATCCGCTTCCCTGCCAGGTGACGCCAGCACTCGCACTGCGCCCACTCGGCACCTGCGACGGCAGCCGCCACGACGAGCTACGACCCAGCGTCCCTCAGACGCGACTGAATACGACGAGCAGCAGCACGCACACTGCTACGGGTAGCGGTAGCACGCGACTTCCTCGACCACCACACGGAGCACCAGCTGGGCCCAGGTCGGCACCTACCCCAGGCGCACCACAACGCACAACAAACACCACGACCTCCACCTCCATCTCCCACAGAGGCAGCACCATGGGCATCAACAGCGAGTGGCTCAGGAACTACGCCGCCACCCTGGAGAACAACCACGAGCCGCACTCCAAGCAGAGGACCCACACCACGCCCTACTCCAGCGGCGATTAGAGCAGGCCTCGAGCGCTGAAGAACAACAAAAGGGCGAAACATTGGGCCAAGGACCACCCCGACCTCTACGTACTGAAGCACCGGCTACAGCGGCAAGGGCAACAACGGCAGACGCAAAGGGAGCTGCTCAAGTCCTACGACGACGACATCGAGCCTGACAGCCGCTACAAAAAAGGTAATAACAAGGAACACAAGGGCACGGTTAAGACACAGACACAGCCCGATGCGGAAAGTTTACGCAGTCCGATGGCTGGACTGCGAATCGCCACCCAACGGCAATAAGCACAGAGACGACTGGAAGGGAAGATCAAGCTCGTCGAGCGGAAACGATCAGCCGCACCACCAGAACTACACGAACAAGTTGGACGGCAATATCCACGAGCTCCACGCTTTGCTGCGCGACATCATACCCACATGGTGTCAAAGATAGTGGCCTTAACGTGCCGCATGGTCATGTAAGTGTTGGTGGTGTCGTGGTCGTCGTGGTTGTGGACTGGCGTGGCCGTGAGCTTCCGATCGGGTGTAGGGTTCATGAAGTGGCGTTGCGCCTGGCCGCGCTGTGGTAAATTGCAACTCGAATAGATGGCGTAGGAAATTACGGTATCAATTGGGTGGTGGTGGGTAGGAGCGTAGCGACGAGGGCGTAAATACGTGGCATGCACGTGTCGGCCGACGTGACTGTCGGTCGTTGGGATGTCACGTGCAAGCCAATATCCTGGCCTCGATCCCCGAAGGGAAGCCGGCACGATTTAAAGCAGCACCATCCACATAGTTCACCAAACTGTGCCGTGGAAAACGGGCATTACAATCAGAACCTACCACATGACGATAAAGCCAATTCCGCAACCAAATCGAAAGAGATATTGTAAACCGTACCAAGATACTACTCTTCTGGCGTGTAATAATACCCCCGCACTTCTCCATACCGTAGGCATGAGTAGGTAGATGGATGATAAAACATGGGATCGGAAGATTCAACATCGATAAATTGGAAAGACTCTTTCTTCCGTTACTCGGATGCTATAATACCCCGAGATCGGGGCAGTCACATGTTAGAAGCCAGCCCCTTGAGCCCCAAGTTGCAGCGGACGCAGGCGCGTCGCTCGTAGACTCGCATTTGACCTCCGATCAAAGTCTCCAAGACAGACCAAGAGAACTCCAAGAAGCCCCATTGGCGAGCCAAGAGCGCTCCGAGACGCGCAACATGGCCTCCAAATGGCCATATGAGCCCCCCCAAGACGCCCCAAGAGCGCGACAAGAGGCCCCCAAGAGGTCCGGAGTATGCCATGTCAAAACTAAGGCGGCCTCACGAGAGCCCCACGAAGGGAACAAGCGACCATAGTTCGAGCTCTCCGGCCCAAGGTGACCCCGGAGACCGCCAACAGGCCCCCACGAGGCCCCGAAGGAGCCTCAGGGAAGCCCACACGAGGCTCCAAGAGGCCCCCAGCATGCCCCCGAGAGGCCCCCGAGGCACCCCAAAACCCGTCGCC